GCCTTCATCACAACACATACAGATATTATTTGCGCCTCCCTCAGAAAACCCTCGACATGTGAGGGACTGAGGGAAGCCTTCGGCAATCAGCAGAAAGCAAGTTCTCAAGCAAAGGCGCCCAACTAAATGATGGAGCCCCCGGAAGAATCAACACATCTACTCCTTTTCCCTCAAGTACCTTTCGGCAAAAGGAGTGAGGGACTCCTGATGGAGTATATGGCCCAGCACCCCCCGGCCCATAGACTCCTACTTCTCCTACACAAGTCCGTTGAGCCCAGAGAACAACTCAGGCCCAAATGCAGCGGCCCAAGCCTCGAAGTAGCTCAGAATGCACACTGGGATGCCTTCGGCCTCCTTGGCCGAGGGCTCCAAAACTCACAGGATAGCCTTCTCTGGCATAAGAAGCTGCTGGGAGAAAACAGGCGAAGACATGAGCCTTCGGCATTCCCATGCCCTCGGCACCAGGGGAAGCCTTCGGCTGAACCAAGCCTTCGGCTACACAAGGAGCCCTCGGCTGCACAAGGGGCCCTCGGCTGCACAAGGAGCCCTCGGCTACACAGAGAGCCTTCGGCTGAACAGGCTCAATCATCGAAGATTCCTTTTAGAGACAGCCAACCACCGCATTTAATGCCATGTCACATCCGCCAACCGCATTCAATGCGGTTGACGTACCACTGCCGGTGCCACCAGGCTGGTGTGACCCTTCGGCCGTTGGATTGCTGACACATGTACTCTCATCGCATTTATTGCTGCTATAAATAGCAGCCCATTTCTCCTTGTAATGGACACAATCTACATCCCAGCTCCACATCTCGAGTTCATTTAATAAAATCGACTCTCTCTCCTCCTATTTTGCTCTGACTTCTCTCTAGTTATTCCCGCAATAACCCCTCGGATAAGATACCCCCCGGGTAGATTGTCCATCAGGTGGAATATAAAGTTGACAATGCAACCACCAAACAGTCCAGACATGAATGTTCTAGATTCAGGATTTTTCAACTCAATACAGTCATTGCATTATCAAACATGCAGCAAAACAGTTGATGAATTGCTTCAAAATGTGCAAGATGCATTCACTCGCATATCCCCTAAAACACTTTATCATGTTTGGCTTACACTACAACTGACAATGGCAAAGGTTATTAAAGTGGGGGGGTAACTTCACACTTCAGCATATTGACGAACATAGATTGGAAAGGCAAGGTATCCTTCCTACCAACATTGTCATGGAAAAGGACATAGTACAAGCTGCAATGGACCATCTGAATGGAATAACATAGTGTAAGCATATCACACCGTTGGTAGTACTATGACACAACACTCTCAGTTAACATATTGGTCATCATAGAGCTGTCAGGATACATCATCCAGCTCTGTGATGAATTTGTTATCATCATAGAGTGTGTGTACAATTGGTGGCTAGCATATCTATTTTGCCGACCCTTTTTTCCCCACATTAGGCCAAATTTTGTTTATTGGCCTAGCATATGCAATGTAAAAATTGAAATATTAATCTCAGATGTTTTTTTATCATTACATATGTGTTACGTAGTCTCAGACATCTTTAATTGTCATCACAGTTTCATAATTTAAGTTAGACCATGGGTGGCAATCAACACATCATTTTACCTCCTACATGTTCCAACCAGGGACTAGTACACTTCAAATAAGTCAATAAAAGCCTCACATCACAAATCATAAGCATATAGTCATCACATTACCATCATATTCACAACAAGGCATCATAAGTATGGAGTAAGTTCAAACATTGGTGGCAATCAATGATTCATTTGACCTCCTACATGTTCCAAGCACATTAACATACTTAGAAAAACTCATCTTAGGCATACAAGTGTCACAGATTCATCACATGGACTAGTACAGTTCAAACAAGCCAATAAAAGCCTCACATTACAGAATCACATATCATACGCGCATAGTCATCACATAACCATCATAATCACCACGAGGCATCATAAGTATGGAGTAAGTCAAAACTTAGAACATGAATGGCAATTAAAACAACATTTCACCGCATGTTCATAAGCACATTAACATACCCACACATAATCAACACCATAATTAGCATCATCAGTGAAGCCCATAGTAAACCGTAATGCAAATAAAATAAACGCAGAGAATAGAGAGTTAGATATACAGACACACTGGAGGAGGCAACAAATCAATCAAAGTTGTTTATAGGAGATGGGAGGAGCCTCGAATAACTCTGGTCAGATACCACAGAGACGCCGGAGGAGAAGTCACCTCCTCTGCGTTATCGTCCCCACAAACCTTGTAGTTCCGCCACCTCCACCGAAGCTAGGATTTATTCCAGGTATGCAATAACCACCCCTCTCATCGCCTCAATCGGAATCTACCCATTCACCGCCTATCTCAGGAATGATGGATTCCAGAAATATCATCGCACCGGGGGCAAAATCTACATAAGGATAGGTGGGACTCTCAGGAAACACAATGGTGGTTTCACAGGATTTGTGTAATGGAGCCATATGTATCGTCGTCAAAAGCAAACATATGCATAGAATAAAGAGAGACAAGACCATTCCGGGAAGGTGAGAGACCATGAAGGTTACGAGATGGAAACTACAGACAAGTGAGAGACGAAGGGGGTGAAGATCTAGAATACTCAAAGATAAATGAGCGGACACCTGATACAGAGTAAATGGGGAGTATTAGGGTGAAACAATATAAGGGTAAATAAGGGAACAGTGTAATAAATGAACGGTATGTTAGCCACTTCATAATTAAATGTTTGCCAAATAAGGAAACGAGAACATCAATTTGGGACATCCCAGAAAGGAAATAAGGGAACATCAAATTGGGACGGATGGAGTACTTGTTTGTTATTCACTTATATTTACATATATTACATCTAATTAATATATTAAGTATATACATTGATATTAAATATAAGTGTACTACTCATCTTATATAGTAGTATACTTATATATCATATACTATAAACATTATACGGAGTATTATATATTAGTTATACAATTATTGTATCTACTTATATACTTATTATCTACTTATAAATACATATATTACATCTAATTAATATATTAAGTATATATATATATATATATATATATATATATATATATATATATATATATATATATATATTAAAGTGTTAAATACGCTAGTATAATTGTACTACTCATCTTATAGTAGTATACTTGTATATTATATACTATAAAAATTATATTATATATTAGTTACACTTTCATTAATATTAGTTGAGTTTATCCTATTACTTACACACTCACACTCCCATTAATTAGTATACATTCATACATTTATCCTATTGGTTATATTTTTCATTAATATTAGTTAAACTTTCTCATTTTGTCACCTTAAATATTTGTTACATTCTCATTTGTTACATACTAATATTAGTTGCATTTTTTGTTGATTTTACTATACTTGTCACATTATCATATTAGTTAATCATATTTGTTACATACTAATATTAATCATATAAAAAATGTTAGATTAAAATATTAAAGTAGTTGCATTTTAGTTAATTTTACTAAATCTGTTTGATCCATTTTGGCTAACAAATCTTCAAGTTCTTTAATCTCAGTGTAAAGAGAGTCCCTAATGGAGTAAAGTGAGTTGTTTACACCAAAGAGTCTAATTCTTTCAGCTTCAGTGCTTTTAAGCTTCTTAGTCATGTCTTTAATGCTAGCTCCTAGATCTTCATTTTCTAAAGTGAGCTTAGTGATCGTTTTATGTGAATTGATTATTTTAATGTTCAAGAATGACTCATTCTCTAACTGTTTGACTAGAACATTATAGTTATTTTCCATTCTCCCTTCAAGTTCCTTAGTTATTTGGTTAGGATCAGATTTAGAAAATAATGATGTCGAGTTTGAGTTGGCTTCCATCCTTGATCGAGTTGAGCAGTTGATCGATTTTTAGGGAATTTAGCTTAGTTGGCAAAATGTGAGTCAATGTTTCCTAAGTGATGCGCTAATTGAGAGTTAGCGCACTGTGTTGATGCGCTAAGAGGATGCGCTAAATGGATTGCGCACAGAGTGATGCGCTAAAAGTAAAACTGCGCTCATCTAAAACTTCGCTCATGAGTAAAACTTCGCTCATCTAAAACTTCGCTCATCTAAAACTTAGCTCATCTAGAACTTTGCTTATCTAAAACTTCGCTCATCTAAAACTTTGCTCATTTAAAACTTTGCTCATCTAAAACTTTGCTCATCTAAAACTTAGCGCATAAAAGCTTTGCTCATCTAAAACTTTGTTTATCTAAAACTTCGCTCATCTAAAACTTTGCTCATCTAAAACTTAGCGCACAAAATGTAACACCGTCCCCAAATATATTTACGTTCATGTAAATAATGTATTGAACCTTATTAAAGGATTAATGAATTTACGAAGTTGTAAATTTTTATTATTTCTTTCGCGTGAATAGTAAATTGCACATGGGACCCACACCGGGAGCGAGGGGCCACCCGATATTCCCGAGATCACATAAATCATTCTTATGGGTCGAAATAATATTTATATAGTGGTGGATATTTTATTTGGGTCGTGAAAAGGCCCAGAGTTGACCGATTGGGCAAAAGAGGCCCAAATACCGGTACCGACAATTTAACAGATAACAGCCCGAAAATGAATTTCGGAGACTTCTAAATTAATGTTTTGGAATACATATTATTTCAAAAGGCCATTACGATTGAGAACACGTAATATATTTTATTGGACCCGATAAAATAAAATATATTTAAAACAGTCCGAAAAATACAACTTTCGGGACCGATTGTACACATCGGGACACAAAGGGATGACCTCCCACATGAGTGGGGGCCACCCCACGTTTTTATGTGCTAAACACATCAATTGAGAGCTGGGTTGACAAGAGGAAATGAGGAGGAGATGCATTTGGCATCAAAAGTACAATGGGGAGGACCCATTCCCACATTATTTTGAGAGAAAAGCCAAAGGGGCTATCTCCTCACTCACCCACCCCATAATTTCGGCCAAGGCACACCAAGAGAACAAGGAGACCTCTGCAAACTCATCTTCCATAGCCAAAATTCGAGCTCAAGCCATAGGGTTCCAAGAAGGAAGATTAAAGAGGGAAAAAGTTGGGAAAAGTGTGAATAATTAAGGTAATGACCTTATTATAACTTCTCCTTTATTTTTCTTCTACCATATGAGGTATATATCATGTGAAGGACCCCTAGTATGGTTCCACATGTTATAAGTATGGATTTATGGGTAGGAAGATGGTTCTATGTCCAAGAATGGACTTAGAGACCAAAACTACCGGTTCACCGGAAAATAACCTTTTAGAGGTTATTTGTATTAATATGAGTTTTATGATTATAAAACCTTGTTAGGCACTTGTAAAGGGTATTTCAAGTGGTTTCACAAAGTTGGAAAAGTCGCCGGAGTTGTCGCCGGAGTTGACCAAAAGTCGCCGGAGTTTCACCGGAGTTCAACCAAGAAGGGTAGAACTTCATAACGCTAGTTCAAGGTGAGTGGACGGCTTAATATCTTATAACTTTTGGGTTAATTATAAGATTACCTAAATAAATGTTATATGAATTCATAATGATGTTTAAAAGATATTTAAACATGTGATTAGCCAATAGGGTTAAGTTTGTATGAAAGAAATAGATTGTTTATGCATAGAATATGATATGAAGAATTATATAAAATGCATATTTGCTTGAAGTGCATTAGAAGCACAAATGAATATTTTAACTTAATTATGCGATGATTAAGTTGATTTGTACAAGGTTTGAAATGGCGGTCAACGACCACGTTGACCGGTGGATAATGGATTAATTAATACCGGTCGATATTAATTAATTGTACATTTACATAATTGCATGGCTTTGCATGGAATGTGATACATAAGTTTTATGTATTGGATTAGTTATGAATGGCTAAATATGATATAGACCCTATCTAGTGTGATATGTGGTAAGTCATAGGTCGGGTGGAGTACCCAAGGATCGGGCGGTTATCCTCAAAACTCGGTTATATAGGGTGGAGTACCCAAGGATCGGGCGGTTATCCTCAAAACTCGGTTATATAGGGTGGAGTACCCAAGGATCGGGCGGTTATCCTCAAAACTCGGTTATATAGGGTGGAGTACCCAAGGATCGGGCGGTTATCCTCAAAACTCGGTTATATAGGGTGGAGTACCCAAGGATCGGGCGGTTATCCTCAAAACTCGGTTATATAGGGTGGAGTACCCAAGGATCGGGCGGTTATCCTCAAAACTCGGTTATATAGGGTGGAGTACCCAAGGATCGGGCGGTTATCCTCAAAACTCGGTTATAGGGTGGAGTACCCAAGGATCGGGCGTGTATCCTCAAAACTCATAGGCTACATTTAATGATCTAGGACCGGACGGTGTCCTTATGATAATTTATTTGAACAAGGAGGAGTTCTATACACTCATAGGTATATGGGTGGGTTGGGATTTAAGTCAAGGATATTGGCTACTATTATTTTCCCAAATAAACAATGACCTACGGGTCGGGTATTTCCAAGTGTATGTATACTAATATGTATTTCAAACTTGGGGGAAGGACTATACGTATATGTATCATCCTATGTTTGGGTCTTATACTTGAAACGCTAGTTATTCTATATTTAGCCTGCTACTCGCTCGGTACTTGTACTGACCCCTTCGGGGGGCCCCACCATTCTCAGGTTGAAGCTAGGGCTTGCTACCTGCACCTTCCTACGGGTGACATCAAATCAAGGAAGACGTGGTTCGTGCTTCCTCATTTTATTTCAAATTACTAAACATTGCTCATGGATATTTTTATTTGTTATAAACTATTCTTTTGGGGCTTGCATGCCCATGTTATTGGCCGGTTGTGGCTTATGACTTACCGTTGAATATTTTCGCTATTCATTGGTTTAAATGTGATGTTGTTATGTATGTTTACTACTGAGTATGGATGGATTATTTTTCTCGAACGCCTTGTGTAATCAAGTGAGGTTGACTCGCGGGTGACATCACTTGATTTCACGGCGGTTGTACACGCGCTTGGATTGCGGTCTGGGGCGTGACAATTAAGTGGTATCAGAGCCATCTCAGTTCTAAACTATATAATCAACCTCTCACAAAAGATTTTACAAAAGAGTTTTTACCGAAAACCATGAGCATTGTATTTTGACGTTTATAGGACTATTGGTGCTTAAGTTGCAAGGCCTCTAATTGTTAAGACGGTACCCTTAACAATTGGTATGGTGGTGACTTGGGTCAATACGTGTCTATAACGTTTTTCCGTCAATTGACATTCATAGGAGTCTAAAGACTCGTCCAAATTCCGTTTCAGAAATGGAGGGTAAGCGAATGGCAACAAGGAATGACCCTAAGGGACAAGCGTCGGTAGCTTACCTTGAGGCTAGCCGGGCTGTGTCACGAGCCTTTACGGGGAGAGGAATAGGGCATGGGGGCCGTGAGGGCCGCCAAGCGGCAAGCGCTAATCAAGTGGGCTCGATGTGTAACATGAACACCAGGAGGAACGAACGTAGGCGTCAGGCGAGGCGAGATCGGGCCACCTCCCAACGTGATATGACTGTCAGCCAAACCCATCCTTGGGCAAACGACCAAGGAGGAGAAAGCACTCTTACGGCACCGGCATCACCGGTGAAAAAGAAAAGGACCTCAAGGTGGCATACGTCCTTTCCTTACTCTTTCAGACCATCCAAATGTTCGAATTGCTCTAAGAAACATTTCGGAAAGTGCAACGAGCCCCCGATGTGCTACGAATGTGGGAGCACAACCCACATGAAATTAAGTTGCCCATGGAGGAGGCAACGAGAGACATCGCAAGCCAAGGAAGGGCTCACCGTGGAAGGAAACCATACGGAACCAACGGCGAGCAACGCTACGTCCGTCAATCAAGGCGGGGCCCAAGCACGAGACTACGCGATGATCGAGGCGGATGCGCGGGCAAACCTAGACTCCGTCGCAGGTAATACACTTATTTCCATGTATTTCTAGGCTTATTTTGATCATATACACCGTTGGGGGTTGAGTTCGGGCCACCCCGGGATCAAACGGAGCGAAATTGGGCGAAATTGGGCGAAATCGGGCTGATTTCTGCCAACGCACTACAGGCTGGGCTGCACGCACGTCCGTGCGTTGTCCGTGCGTACCTCCGTGCGTTGGTGGCAGTAGCACCCCGGAGCAAATCGCTGCACGCCCGGCCGTGCGTTGCCCGTGCGTACCTCCGTGCGTTGGTGGCAGTAGCACCCCGGAGGAAATCGCTGCACGCCCGGCCGTGCGTTGCTCGTGCGTCCTTCCGTGCGTTGGGGGCAGTAGCCTCCATTGGGAAGGCAAGGTACGCACGACCGTGCGTACCCCCTACGCACGCCGTGCGTGGACCCCTGGCACCCGAAACTTGATTTTTTCGCCCCGTTCTTCTACGTTTGGACCCCCGTTTGATTCCAAACATTAGTATGAACCTAATAACCTCCTAAAGATGTGTAAAAACATTAGAAAAGGTATCTTACATGTGTATAAATGTAGGAACATTAAAGATCAATGGTAGGTGTGCGAGGATCCTCATCGATACCGGGGCACAACGCACATTTGTGAGTGAGGCGTTCGCCGAGGGCCTTGACGTGCCATTGACACCTATGACGCAAACGTTGCTAGTCTCCACACCGTTTGGAGACGATGTGGAGAGAAATCATTTCTATCCGTCGTGTGAGGTAGAAGTGACGGGTCAACATTTGACTTGTGATTTCATACCTCTAAGCATGTTGGAGTTCGATGCAATCCTAGGAATGGATTGGCTCGAGAAACACCATGCTCGAGTGGATTGCTACACCAAGGTGTTGGAGCTCGAGGATGATCAAGGGAACACGCTATGTTTTGAAGGAGATCAGGGGAAGTCCCATGCATGTATCATATCCGTGATGAGAGCACGGAAGATGATGAGGAGGGGATGCCACACATACCTTGCCTACGTGGTGGACGATACCAAGAAGGAAGTCGACATCAAAGATGTACGGGTCGTATGCAAATACCCGGATGTCTTTCCCAAAGACCTACCGGGGCTTCTACCCGATAGAGAGATAGAGTTTGTAATTGAAGTGGAGCCGGGAACCAAACCCATTTCGATTCCTCCTTATCGAATGGCGCCAGCCGAACTCCAAGAGTTGAAGGTCCAACTACAAGAATTACTGGACAACGGGTTCATCAGACCCAGTCATTCACCGTGGGGAGCACCCGTACTCTTCGTAAAGAAGAAAGATGGTACGCTAAGAATGTGTATCGACTACCGACAATTGAACAAGGTCACCATCAAAAACAGGTATCCCTTACCGAGGTTTGATGACTTGTTCGATCAACTTCGAGGGGCAATAGTGTTCTCGAAAATTAACTTGGGGTCGGGGTATCATCAGTTGAAGATCAAGGAGAGTGACATACCTAAGAGTGCATTTCGCATTAGATATGGTCATTACGAATTCCTTGTGATGTCGTTCGGTTTAACTAACGCACCGGCGGCATTCATGGACTTGATGAACCGTGTGTTTAGTGAATACTTAGATCAATTTGTGATAGTATTCATTGATGACATCTTGATATACTCCAAGAGCGAGGAAGAGCACGAACATCATTTGAGGCTTGTACTTGATCGGCTAAGGGAAAAGCAACTCTTTGCCAAGTTCTCTAAATGCGAATTTTGGCTCAAAGAAATTGGTTTCCTCGGTCATGTCATATCCGGTTCGGGGGTTGCCGTGGATAACGCCAAGACTAAAGCTATTACGGATTGGGAGAGACCCAAGAATGTGAAAGAGATACGTAGTTTCCTTGGCTTAGCGGGATACTATCGTAAATTTGTTGAAAAATTCTCTGTATTGGCGTCTCCATTAACGAAGCTCACAAAGAAGGGGGCCAAGTTCATATGGGACGACAAGTGTGAGAAGGGGTCCCTTGAATTGAAGAAACGACTTACCGAAGCACCAGTCCTTGCCCTACCCATATTTGGGATAGGGTATGACATCTACAGTGATGCTAGCATCCAAGGGCTTGAGTGTGTACTAATGCAAAACGGTAAGGTGATTGTCTATGCTTCTAGGCAATTGAGGAAACACGAGGTGAACTACCCTACTCACGATCTAGAGTTCGGGGCGGTAGTGTTTCCATTGAAGATTTGGAGGCATTATCTCTACGGGGAGACGTGTCACATTTATACTGATCATAAGAGTTTAAAGTATGTATTCACTCAGAAAGAGTTGAATATGAGGCAGGGGAGATGGATGGAGTTGATCAAGGACTATGACTTGATCATCGACTATCATCCCGGAAAGGCCAATGTAGTGGCCGACGCACTGAGCAGGAAGAGTACGTCAGGGACGTTACTCACTTGTCTACGAGTATTGAGGGCACACGTGGAGGTGTCCACGACCGGGGCGCTCATTGCTAGGTTCGAGGTGAGGCCTACATTGCTGGGTGAGATCAGTAGATGTCAGGCCATTGATGAGGAATGTCAGAAGATCCGCGAACGGATCCTTGAGGGGCCCGTTGAGAATTTTCGGGTACGTGATGACGGTCTTTTATTATTTAAGGATCGTGTGTGCATACCAAAGAATGAGGAGCTCCAGAAGTCTATACTTGAGGAGGCTCATTCTTCAGCATATGCTATGCATCCAGGAGGTACTAAGATGTACCGAGATATGAAGGAAAGTTACTGGTGGTCAGGTATGAAGAGAGATATCGCAGAGTATGTGAGTCGATGCCTTACTTGGCAGCAAGTTAAGGCAGAGCATCAGCACCCAGCAGGGCTCTTGCAGCCACTCACCATCCCAGAGTGGAAGTGGGAACATGTGACCATGGACTTCGTGGTGGGGCTGCCACGAACAGTGAACAACTACGATGCAGTATGGGTATTGGTTGATGGACTCACCAAGAGTGCACACTTTCTGCCTATCAACATTACTTATCCTCTTGAAAGATTGGCCAAGCTATACACGGAGGAGATTGTGAGATTACATGGAGTCTCAATATCCATTGTGTCGGATGGGGATCCACGATTCACATCCCGATTTTGGCCAAAGTTTCAAGCATCGTTGGGTACTAAACTGAAGTTTAACACAGCCTTTCACCCACAGACGGATGGACAGTCCGAACGGGTGATACAGATTTTGGAAGACATGCTTAGGGCATGTGCGCTGGAGTTCCAAGGAAGTTGGGACAAGCATTTGGCCCTAGTGGAGTTTGCTTATAACAACAGTTATCAAGCAAGTATCGGCATGCCTCCATATGAGGCATTGTATGGGAGGAAATGCAGAACACCTTTGTGTTGGGACGAGGTTGGCGAGGCCAAACTCGAAGGGATAGAGCTGGTTGAGATCACCAAGGCCAAGGTGAGGATCATTCGGGATAGACTGAAGGCTGCTCGGGACCGACAGAAGAGTTATGCTGATAAACGGCGGAGACGGTTGGAGTTCGAAGTCGGTGATGAGGTCTTCCTAAGGATTTCTCCTTGGAAGGGCATCATTCAATTTGTATCGAGGGGAAAGCTTAACCCCCGATACATAGGTCCGTTTGAGATCCGTGAAAGGATCGGGGCCGTGGCTTATCGTCTCAAGTTAACGCCTGAACTTGAGAAGATACACGACGTGTTTCATGTATCAATGCTCAAGAAGTACATACGAGACCCATCTCATATTCTTGATAAACCGCCGGTAGAGATCCGTGAGGACTTACAATATGCGGTTGAACCAGTGAAGATTGTTGGTCAACAAGTAAAGAAATTGAGGAATAAGGAGATTCCTATGGTAAAGGTCCTTTGGAGAAGTGATCGAGTCAAGGAAGAAACGTGGGAGACCGAAGTCTCAATGAGGGAACAATACCCATTTCTTTTCAATTAGATACTTGGATTTCAGGGACGAAATCCCAAATAAGGGGGGGTGAACTTGTAACACCGTCCCCAAATATATTTACGTTCATGTAAATAATGTATTGAACCTTATTAAAGGATTAATGAATTTACGAAGTTGTAAATTTTTATTATTTCTTTCGCGTGAATAGTAAATTGCACGTGGGACCCACACCGGGAGCGAGGGGCCACCCGATATTCCCGAGATCACATAAATCATTCTTATGGGTCGAAATAATATTTATATAGTGGTGGATATTTTATTTGGGTCGTGAAAAGGCCCAGAGTTGACCGATTGGGCAAAAGAGGCCCAAATACCGGTACCGACAATTTAACAGATAACAGCCCGAAAATGAATTTCGGAGACTTCTAAATTAATGTTTTGGAATACATATTATTTCAAAAGTCCATTACGATTGAGAACACGTAATATATTTTATTGGACCCGATAAAATAAAATATATTTAAAACAGTCCGAAAAATACAACTTTCGGGACCGATTGTACACATCGGGACACAAAGGGATGACCTCCCACATGAGTGGGGGCCACCCCACGTTTTTATGTGCTAAACACATCAATTGAGAGCTGGGTTGACAAGAGGAAATGAGGAGGAGATGCATTTGGCATCAAAAGTACAATGGGGAGGACCCATTCCCACATTATTTTGAGAGAAAAGCCAAAGGGGCTATCTCCTCACTCACCCACCCCATAATTTCGGCCAAGGCACACCAAGAGAACAAGGAGACCTCTGCAAACTCATCTTCCATAGCCAAAATTCGAGCTCAAGCCATAGGGTTCCAAGAAGGAAGATTAAAGAGGGAAAAAGTTGGGAAAAGTGTGAATAATTAAGGTAATGACCTTATTATAACTTCTCCTTTATTTTTCTTCTACCATATGAGGTATATATCATGTGAAGGACCCCTAGTATGGTTCCACATGTTATAAGTATGGATTTATGGGTAGGAAGATGGTTCTATGTCCAAGAATGGACTTAGAGACCAAAACTACCGGTTCACCGGAAAATAACCTTTTAGAGGTTATTTGTATTAATATGAGTTTTATGATTATAAAACCTTGTTAGGCACTTGTAAAGGGTATTTCAAGTGGTTTCACAAAGTTGGAAAAGTCGCCGGAGTTGTCGCCGGAGTTGACCAAAAGTCGCCGGAGTTTCACCGGAGTTCAACCAAGAAGGGTAGAACTTCATAACGCTAGTTCAAGGTGAGTGGACGGCTTAATATCTTATAACTTTTGGGTTAATTATAAGATTACCTAAATAAATGTTATATGAATTCATAATGATGTTTAAAAGATATTTAAACATGTGATTAGCCAATAGGGTTAAGTTTGTATGAAAGAAATAGATTGTTTATGCATAGAATATGATATGAAGAATTATATAAAATGCATATTTGCTTGAAGTGCATTAGAAGCACAAATGAATATTTTAACTTAATTATGCGATGATTAAGTTGATTTGTACAAGGTTTGAAATGGCGGTCAACGACCACGTTGACCGGTGGATAATGGATTAATTAATACCGGTCGATATTAATTAATTGTACATTTACATAATTGCATGGCTTTGCATGGAATGTGATACATAAGTTTTATGTATTGGATTAGTTATGAATGGCTAAATATGATATAGACCCTATCTAGTGTGATATGTGGTAAGTCATAGGTCGGGTGGAGTACCCAAGGATCGGGCGGTTATCCTCAAAACTCGGTTATATAGGGTGGAGTACCCAAGGATCGGGCGGTTATCCTCAAAACTCGGTTATATAGGGTGGAGTACCCAAGGATCGGGCGGTTATCCTCAAAACTCGGTTATATAGGGTGGAGTACCCAAGGATCGGGCGGTTATCCTCAAAACTCGGTTATATAGGGTGGAGTACCCAAGGATCGGGCGGTTATCCTCAAAACTCGGTTATATAGGGTGGAGTACCCAAGGATCGGGCGGTTATCCTCAAAACTCGGTTATAGGGTGGAGTACCCAAGGATCGGGCGTGTATCCTCAAAACTCATAGGCTACATTTAATGATCTAGGACCGGACGGTGTCCTTATGATAATTTATTTGAACAAGGAGGAGTTCTATACACTCATAGGTATATGGGTGGGTTGGGATTTAAGTCAAGGATATTGGCTACTATTATTTTCCCAAATAAACAATGACCTACGGGTCGGGTATTTCCAAGTGTATGTATACTAATATGTATTTCAAACTTGGGGGAAGGACTATACGTATATGTATCATCCTATGTTTGGGTCTTATACTTGAAACGCTAGTTATTCTATATTTAGCCTGCTACTCGCTCGGTACTTGTACTGACCCCTTCGGGGGGCCCCACCATTCTCAGGTTGAAGCTAGGGCTTGCTACCTGCACCTTCCTACGGGTGACATCAAATCAAGGAAGACGTGGTTCGTGCTTCCTCATTTTATTTCAAATTACTAAACATTGCTCATGGATATTTTTATTTGTTATAAACTATTCTTTTGGGGCTTGCATGCCCATGTTATTGGCCGGTTGTGGCTTATGACTTACCGTTGAATATTTTCGCTATTCATTGGTTTAAATGTGATGTTGTTATGTATGTTTACTACTGAGTATGGATGGATTATTTTTCTCGAACGCCTTGTGTAATCAAGTGAGGTTGACTCGCGGGTGACATCACTTGATTTCACGGCGGTTGTACACGCGCTTGGATTGCGGTCTGGGGCGTGACACAAAAACTTTGCCCGTGAGTAAAACTTCACCCGTCTATAAAATTTCGTGCACAAAACTTCGCTCATCACACAAAAAATTTTCGTGCACATGGATGATGCGCTAAATAAGGTTTGCGCACGAAGAGTGATGCATGAACTGCTACCTTGCGCACGGATGAGATGCACCAACTGCAGTTTCACACAGAGAGAGATGCACCAACCTGCAACTTCACGCTCCTGTTTAACCTCCACGCAACCAAAAACTACGCGGGACGATGCAGAAAATGATGAACATCAATCAGAAAAACATCTTCCAGCATTCATTTTTTGCTTTTCCACGTGCAAAAATATCAAACAGAAACAAGAAAAATGTAGCGCACGAAGCAGAGTGGTTCGCGCATGAGAGAAAAACTTCAGCGTCAATCGGTCAATCAGCCTCGGCTCTAATACCAGATGTCAAGTCCCTGTTTCTAGTCTATAAAACTATGAAATGATGCTCAAATATGGTGGATGAAGCTTTCCATTGATACCCAGAAGTGTACAAAAAGATGAAGAAGATTTGGCGTAAAACTTACCTATCCATTCCCTAAAGACATATTTATAGCCTTTTGGGAATGATAGGTTTACAATGATTGGACTCCTATTTTGAAGATGCCCATTTCCCTATTTAGAGCCCCTAGCTCATTTAGGAAATAAGTGCTATTGTACACATAATCAATGTCCACAAGAGGCCTAATAAATTACATTGATCACAACTATAAAAATATCTCTAACAACCTACACTCTGTCCACGGCTCTCGTACATATGCAACAGTGACATCAGAGCTGTGAGACGAAATTGCCACTGCCTCAAAGCCCCAATTACCACCCTATCCGCATGTCATTAGTTCGATAGCGCTACTGCCTTGACGCCCTAGCCGCACCGCCACATCGCCGCCAGAGCCACAAAATCCAGGCGTCAATGATGATGATATAAACAGCGTCAATGTCGGCAATAATGAAGTCGTACGATTTGTGAGCTTGAGGACCAAGGAGGGAGAGAGGTAGAGGCGAGGATCTCGTGCGATTTCCGAGCTGGGAGCTGTGCAATTTCAAGGTTGTGATGGAGCCATGCGGCTTCCAAGCTTGAAGGGTGTGATTTGTAGGGTTATGACAAATAATTTGGGCCACTATATATATATATATATATATATATATATATATATATATATATATATATATATATATATATATACACTTTGAACACAATTATAGTCATTAATAGTTACTAAGTCACACTTTATTCAATAACTTTTTATTAGTAATATTAGAAAACCCTTTCGTTAAAATTTTCCTAGACAGTTTAGTTCATAACAAAGTCATTTTTAAAGTAATTGCAAAAATATCAAATCTAGTTGGGAAAAGTATCAAATAAACCCCCTACTATTTCGAAAAATGTCATTTAAAACCTCTAACTAAATTATCATCCAATGAAACCCACAAACACACTTAAAATTATCAAATAGGCTTTTTAGTCGACAAGCCTATTGGTTACATGGCATATGGTGTGGTTTTTATTTATTTTTTCCTTTTCTTATCCGGTCAAAGCAGGTACTTTGTTGTTACCAATCTTCCTAAAGAGGAGAATGAGTTGGGGAATGCCGCTGAGGACCAGGAATTGCTTCTGGCTTAGGTGTTGCTGCTCAATGACCTACAGACCCTCTGCTTGACATGCACAATTGTCTGAGATATCTCCACCTGACTTGCACCACGGACTTGGGTGTTCGGCCAGCTCGAAGTTTCGGATCTGGAAGAGGTCGTTGACGCCGACCTAAGCATCGTCGCCAACTTGCATCATTGGCCTGGATGTCTCACGGAGCACCGTCTCTCGCGTGTGTTTCTGTCCCAACAGTTTCAACGGAGCACCGTCTCTCACGTGTGTTTCTGTCCCAACAGTTTCAACGGAGCACCTTTGTCGACTTCCAAGCCATTGACTAGTGGAAAAGACGACTGACATGGAATAAGGATGTTTTCTTTTGGACTGTTTTCAGTCCCAGACAAGACCAGATCAGTCCAGACCAGACCAGACTTCCGTAGTTATAAAATACAGATCATACGTTTACCAGATCAGACCAGTTCAAACCAGACCAGATCAGACCAGACCAGACCCGCAAATTTCAGTCCAAAAGAAAACATCCTAAGGAGACGTTCGAGGGTGCGGCGTGCAATGGGTACTCAAGCATCCACGATGACCTAAGTTCCTCTCAAACTCTACGCAGTGGATTACCGGCCAACGAATGATGGGTGGAGAAGAAAGAAGAAAAGAGAAAAGAAATGGTGGGTGAAAGAAGATGGAAACGGGATGAAGTTTGCCGGAGGCCTCAAATTGGAGCGGTGGAACAGTGGAAGAATAAAGGTGGATAAGGAGACAAAGAAAAGAAAAAAATGGCAAAAGTGAAATAGCCTCATAAATCGCCACATGTACATATAACCGGCTAACCTCTTCGTTACCGGGTAGAAAACTAATCGAGAGGTACTTTTTGAGATGCCGTTTGGCAATACTGTTTTTCGACTTATCAGACAACTTTTTCACCAAACGCGTAACTTTTGCTTTCGCGCGCTGAATTGTGTAATAAACAGAAAAGGTAAGGTTGGAGTTACTTTTCTGGCCGTATTGGCTGAAGTTACCGTAGATGATCATTTTAGCTATTTTTACAAATAATTTATTCTATATTTTATTAATAAAATATATTTTTAAAATAATTTTTCTTTAAATCAGCAGAATCAACCAATGCATTCACTTTAGCCAAAACTTCACAAATTTCAGCAGAATCATCCAAATCAGCCGATATTGGTGCTACCAAGCGGGCTCTGAGTGATAATTGTGTTGAAGGTCTTTATAACCTCCTCGTTAGCGGGTTCATTTAGGCATGACATTGGGTCGGGGCGGGGTGGGTATTTCAAGACCCGGACCCGCCCCGTGACTTGGCGGGGCGGGTCCGCCCCGCCCCGTGACGTGCAAGGGTCCAAACTTGTTGACCCATGACCCGCCCCATGTGGGGTGGGTCCGCCCCGCCCCGCCCCGCCGCAACCTAATTAGCCAGTTTGTATTTTTATTTGTGGGAAGTTGTTACCAATTGAATCTACATAATGTTTATCTCTAAATAATAATTAAAAATCAATATATTAAATCAAATTCATGATACGCTAAAAATTTCAATAATTAAGGAAAAATTACTCAAACTTGAATAGTTAATTTAATTAGTTATATTAATAATTGAATAAATGTATTAAAATTCTATATATAAAGAAGACATTGATAATCCGTCGTGCATCTCATTATAAGATCAAAGAATTTATGATTTATTGTATACACGCATATGTATGTTGAAGTATATTTGTAGTATAAGTTAAGAAAAAGTATGTATACTTATATATTGAGCGGGTCGGGGCGGGCGGGTCGGGGCGACACAGGTCAATTCTAATACCCGGACCCGCCCCATTGTATAGGCGGGGCGGGGCGGACCGCCCCATTTGCAAGATGGGGCGGGGCGGACCCGCCCCAAATGTCTCGGGCCATGGCGGGTCATTGCGGGTGGTTTTTATTGAAATCCCTATTTGACATTTTCCCAATTTGGCCCATTTGATAAAGTTTTCTGACGTTTATCCCCTCATCCGGCCTATTAATAAACTTTTAAATATCCGGCGTAGTTAAACTTAACGAGTGCTCAAGGAGTCTGCGGCATCCTCTTTCGTCATGAACAACCGAAGCCAAGGTTCTTAACCTAACCCAATCGGTGCACTGAGCACGCGTCGGCGGATCGAATTATCTTCAGGCAGCAAGAACTCATCTACTCTAGCAAATTCCATCCCTTTTTGAGGCTTCTGTCGGCGCTTAACGGAAATTCATAAACCGACTACTCACAGTCGATATACAACTTCCTCGCGGCAAACCCCCGCAGCTACTGTCGGGCTCTCTCTCAGGCGGTAAGCGATTGCAAAACCGGCGGAAACTATCACTTTTACCGATTCTCACTATATTATTTTATATTTAAATAAAGAAATCTATTCTAAAGAATGTAGTACATTTTAAACTGAGTACATATGTCATACTACGGTATGTTGTATTGTTGTAATGTCACTACAACGAATTGTATGTATAAGCACTGGAGAATGTCACCAACTAGGCCAGTTTTGATATACAGGCTTATTTCATATATTCATCTTTTGGAAATATGCCCAAGCTATCATATCAATTAATTTGTATTGGTGGGGTGCCATCGGAGAATGTTTCCTCTTGGGCATGCTTTCACAATTGTGTGCTATGCGTGAACAAGTTTTAATGGACAAACAGATAGTGGGCAGTGGACACTGTCCCCACCATTTTTTATAATTTGCATTTGGTCTTGCAATATCAATCATGTAATGGACATAACAACAGTTAATATCTCAATCCATAACTTTTTCATAATATAAACCATGCATGTAGAAATAACTTGTGATGATGGAGGTGTTAGAATTCTCATCTCATTATTCCTTCTTATTAAGGTTGCGACAGGCAGGTCACCTGGCCCTAAAAATTTTCAGTATGGTTTTGCATGAATTTATAGTGCTAGTTAATCTTGTATGGTTAATTGGAAATATAGATTTCATTCAACAAACCCCAACTTGTTAGGATTAAGCCATTAAGGTGCTGATAATGATGATAATGGAGCAACACAGCTTGAAGGACAACCGATGCCTTCGCGCAAATTTAAAAACCTTCTTTAGCCACCTTTATCTGTAGATCACAACGAGAATTGTTTAATAATGCGTCATCTTTGATTTATTTGGGCAGTGTGCGACTTAAATGGATTTTTATAGAGAAAATAACTTTAAATAATACCAACTATCTTCAATGAACCAATAATAATAC